TGGATGGTAAATAAAATGTCTATATTTGTGTTGTAGTCATGGCGACCCCTGGTTCCTATCACCACCACTGTAAAGAACCACTCTGAATGACTTTGTTTACATCTTACCCATTAAATTATGAAACATTGATGAAACATTGGTGGAATTTCCCTTTTAAATCCAACCTCCAGCCACATGTTTACATTTAACAGTTAAATATGCTTCACCGGCCAGACACAGTGGTCGACTGCTAACATAACAGACTATATAAACTTAGCTTAGGCTGATGCATAAGTTGTCAAAAGGAAAAAATAGTGCACAGGCAGTTTATCTGTCCACCTTTTCCCAATGCCTTAAGCTGCTTTGCATCAAACATGGACTGAACATCTGCCAAAGGATATATGAATAAATAAACAAGTTAATATTTTTTGCTAGAATACTTGGAATTTGTCAACACAGAACCCTTGAACCTAAGAGAAAGGCTAACTTTAGTGGAGTGTTTCTTTCTTTTCTCTCCATTTTTTTATTCTGTTGTTATTCACACAAGATTGAAATTGAAACTCTAAAAGTCTCTTACTTTACTGGGTCACTGAATGCTAGATAGTGAAGCAACTTGTCATGCTTCCTGATTCTCAGACGAACTCTCATACTGTAAAGGACTCCATATCCCAGAATCTTTCCATCAGTCACGAGACTTCTCCAACCAATCACAAACCACCCAGCAGATCACAGTCACCTGAATTCTAATCACCACCACCTGTTTTACTCTGTATAAATACCAGTGGTGGACGAAGTACACAAATCATGTACTTGAGTTAAAGTAGAGACACCCAAGGTAAAATATTACTCCAGTAAAAGCAGAAGTTCCTCCCTTTAGACTTCCACTTGAGTAAAAGTACAAAAGTATTTACCTTCAAATGTACTTAAATATCGAAAGTAAAAGTACTGAAAGATTAATTATGACTCTGATTTCCTATTATCATTTTTGTAACAAGACTCTGCTTCATCAACTCATTTTAGGTGAAAATACTCCAGTGTCTCTCTTGGTAAACCAATCTTTTAATAGAATGTCATTAATTAGTGACGCTGATGTCTATTAAACTTATCATAAGCACAAAACACTGAAGGCAAACAGTTTCCATCAGGTAGAACTGAGTGGCTCTGAAATAACTTTTTAAATTTTATTATTGTTGATGAAAACTCCTCAGTTACAGTATCACAGTGATGGTGGTGAATAATGAGGAGTCAGAGCTGAACGGGTGTCTGTTTATTGGGAGGAATAACGTTAGCGCGCTCAGCTAAAGTGTTTGGGAAACTGAAACTGAAACTGGAGACGGCGACGTTCTGATAAACAGCACAAAGCACTGAAACAGTGTTCTTAAACTGAAAGTTATCGCGCTTTAGTTTTGTTTGACCATTTTTAAATCAGTAACGGTAGCTAACGTTAGCTGTCTGACTAGCTAACCTGATTACGTGTTTACATTTCAGCTGTGCACATATGGTCAGTCGCTAGGCAACAAACACGACAGTTCATTGTTGACTTGAATCGAGAAAGTTGAGATTTCCTAACTTGAGATAAGAAAAGATGCTGAAAGATAAGATAAGATTCCTAAATTAAGATCAGATTTGCTTCTGTAATATGAATTTGTGAAAAATCTTATCTTGACCTGTCGGATCTTCAGTTAAGACAAAAATGGGAAGTTTCTGTAATACAGCCCCTGGTCACTGCTTCATTCTGCCCTCCACTTTTCGCCATTTGTGACTGACTCCTGATTTACCCTAGACGTACCTCGGGGTGGTAACACCAGTTTTCCTCTCTGTCTTTTAGGTCGTTGGCCATTTTGTGCTGGTACAGTTTCTTTTTACAGAGCGCTTTTATGTTCAAACCTGTTCTGTAGTGATCAGCGCTGCTCCTGAGTTCTCCTCCTTCTTTGTCTCTCCAGATGACTTTGGGCTTTGGTGACCATCCACCTGACGCACAGGTAACATTCACCTGTTCTCCAGCTTCGGTGAAGAAGAGAACAGGAACAGCTCCTATTACTTAGAACAGACAGGAGGGATTTCAGAGTGAGTTGCTCTGTTAAACACGTTGTTGAGTTATTTTTAGGCTGGTTATGTTTAATTTATAGATCATATACATCAATCAGGCATAACATTATCACCATTTTTATGTCCTTGTTTCTGCGCTCATTGTCCATTTTATCAGCTCCACTTACTATATAGGTGCACTTTGTAGTTCTACAGTTACAGACTGTAGTCCATCTGTTTCTCTGCATACTTTGTTAGCCCCCTTTTGCCCTGTTCTTCAGTGGTCAAGACCCCCTTGGACCCTCACAGAGCAGGTACTATTTGGGTGGTGGATCATTCTCAGCACTGCAATAACACTGACGTGGTGGTGGTGTGTTAGTGTGTGTTGTGCTGGTATGAGTGGATCAGACACAGAAGTGCTGCTGGAGTTCTTAAACACTGTGTCCACTCACTGTCCACTCTATTAGACACTCCTACCTTGTCAGTCCACCTTGTAGATGTAAAGTCAGAGACGATAGCTCATCTGCTGCTGCACAGTTTGTGTTGGTCATCCTCTAGTCCTTCATCAGTGGTCACAGGACGCTGCCCACAGGATGCTGTTGGCTGAATATTTTTGGTTGGTGGACTATTCTCAGTCCAGCAGTGACACTGAGGTGTTTAAAAACTCCAGCAGCACTGCTGTGTCTGATCCACTCAGACCAGCACAACACACACTAACACACCACCACCACGTCAGTGTTACTGCAGTGCTGAGAATGATCCACCACCCAAATAGTGCCTGCTCTGTGAGGGTCCATGGGGGTCCTGACCACTGAAGAACAGGGTAAAAGGGGGCTAAGAAAGTATGCAGAGAAACAGATGGACTACAGTCTGTAACTGTAGAACTACAAAGTGCACCTATATAGTAAGTGGAGCTGATAAAATGGACAATGAGTGTAGAAACAAGGAGGTGGTCAGAATGGGTCGAACTGAGTAAGTACACTTGGGTTTCTTTGAGGTTGTGAGGTGATGAATCTTGAGTTGCTTACTTTTCACTACTAAGGATACATTGGCTCTGTCATACCACTGTGGGCTCTCAACATTGCACATATATTCCCCATTATCTGCCAGTGTCAGGTTCTCCAGTTTCAGAGAGACGTTCCCTTTCTCCAGTTCTCCAATCAGATACACTCTGCCTCTGTACTGAGGATCTCCAGCGTTCTCCTGGACTTTGAGGTTCTGGTACAGCAGTATGGGTTTGTTGTAGTCTTTATTTCTGTACCAGCGAAATTCAAACGTTTTAGCATTATAGGAGGGAGAAAGTCCACAAGGCAGGATGACTGAAGATCCTGATGGAGCTGACACTGAATTAGGAACCAGCACTGAAAACGTCACTGAAAGAGAGAAATATAGCTTTGAAGTTCAGTTCAAAAATCATTTCCAGAATGTAGCAGGAATAAGGATTCAGAACTAGAGCAGAAGACATGATTACCAGCTCTTGAAAGGCAGAGGAGAGTGGACATCCACAAAAGCACTATAGCTGTCGACGATAATGCAATGAGAAGGTAGCGTTTATAATGTTTTGGATAAGTACATCATCTTTATGTGTGCAAAATGAGGAAGATCAAATGTCTATATGTGTAAATATGATATAAACACATTTTCATGGGATACTTTCACAGCATTGTACCCTTTGAACCCCAACACTGATCATTTTGATGTTTAGGAATTTGATATGTATTAGCTATTTATTAGACATGTATTAGGACTGAATGCAGCACAGAAATCTGTAGCTATATACTATATATTGCTATATATATCTAGAGAGTGGTGTGAAAGAATGCAACTGGACTGCACAGAGCTATTCCCTCAACTCCAAAACTTCTGTTTTTGTGTTTTTTTTTCTGCTTATTTGTACTTTTCAGGACATTTCAAATGGCTTGTCTGAGCCCAATGCTTGTGCAAAGGCCCTGATTTAATTTCCCACTTTTCTCAGCTTCAAAATGGCTTCCTTTTCTCCATAGGTGGCTTTCTGGTCTTAATGTTGATTTATCCTTTTTAACCCTCTATTGCACGATGTTGCCTCAGGGCAACAAACTCATTTTCCTCACTTTACAATAACATTATACATATTTAAAGACAACGATGGGGTTAACAATAAAGGGCGGAGTATGAGTGAGTCAATAAAAAGCATGTAGTTGATGATAGACATATTTTGTGGAAATATGTTTGTTGCCTAGAAGCAACACTGTGCCACAGTGGAATGGATTTAGCCAGTCACAAGCCACCACCTCAGGGAACACGACTCCTGCACACATTTTTTTATTTTAATAATTGGGTGAGAAAAAATAAATCAAGGACAATTTTATGCAAAAAAAGTGAATTATATCTATTTTTTAAACTGCTCCCACAATGTGTGCAGTAGAGGGTTAACAACAAATGCAGTCTTCACAAACCCAGGGCTCAAACCAGAAGCAGACATTCAGAGCTATTGAGTGTTTAAACAGTAAATCTAACAGGGCACAATCTAAATGGGCAACAAGAAACACCTGTCAGTCACATGTTCCAGTATTCTTGCTCAAATGGGTTCTAAAAAAAATAATGCATCTATATGTAAATATCAGGACGTAAAAGCTGAAATTCTGATCTATCGTGTCTTATTCGTCTTTTGATCTCAAACCCAAATGTTTTCAGTGTTCAGCAAAAACAAATAAAATGGCTTTGCTGTTCCAGTACTTTCACAGGAGACATTTGTTATATGTAGTCGTTTCTTCTGCCTGTATCTTAGAAAGGTTTAAGCTGGCTGAAAGAACATGAGAACACAAATTAAGTGCTCCTCTAATGCTGTGAATGTGTACACACCTTTTAATAAAATATTTCTCAAAACAGAAACGACAATAGTCAGTTCAGTAATAACTACTGCAAACTCGTTTTAGTTTCAGAATCTCTCTCAGCACTTAGCAAAGTGAGGAAGCGAATGACCTTGAACTGACAATCTTTTTTTTGTTTTTTCAAAAGTTTATTTTATTGAGCAGAGTGACAGGCAGCTGGTTCTAAATCATTTATGAAATTAAAGATGCTCTTTCTTCAGATCTTCTTTTTTTCTCTGTACTTCGTTTCTCTCCAGTTTCATTGCCCCTCTCAACCAAATGTGCCATTTTTTAAACAGTTCATTCATAAGTAATTGAGCTTTTGAATTACTATACATACACAATAAAAACACAGAGGACTGATCTTGAGTCAGCACTCACGACACTCGATCCTCATGGTTGATAAAGTTCATCACATTTCACACATTTTTCTTGACTTATCATGATTGTATGTTGTTGTTTGTCTCCAGGACTTAAAACTGGAATCAGAGGTGGTGAATGTACATCATAGAAAGTGTAGAGATGTGTCTGTTTATCACAGTCGTAAAAAGACAGTTTGTGTTTCTCACAGTCTAAAAACACTCCCAGCTTTGAGAACTGATCTCTCACTAGAACAGGAGTCTGAGAGGGATCATTAACATAGTAACCTTTCTCTTTCTCATAGTGAAGAACCCAGTAGCCGTTCTGTGGAGTTAAAGGAACTTTTCTCCTCTTCTCTGCTGTTTCATTGGTCACTCCAACATACCAGGATGATGAACACTTATATGACTTTCCATTCTTTGAGGTATGTGGTTCTATCATTACTGTTATCTCCCAGTAGTACCGCCCTGAACTAATTCTCTCTTCACAAAGAACATGAATAAATGCTGTCTTGTCATTAAGATCTGATGTACACATTACTCTTGACTTTTTCTTTCCAACATCAAGAGAAGGTACAGTTGGTGTGACTGGCCTGATGGCAACTGGAAAAATAAACATAAAAAAGAATATGAAATGAACACCAAGCTGTATTAAAGAGATTAAAAACAATTCTGGAAAATGTTCATACAGACAGTAGAACAAATGGTCATAACTACAACAAACAAAATCTGTGGATATTTACAAACACGTTGATATCCTATTTTAATTAGTGTTAAATTAGTGATTTGTAATATTACTATATTCTAACTTTTAAAGACAGGTTATAATTCTCAGTATATTATGAGCAGCATTGCTCCTCACTCCTTTTTCTTTACACAGTAATAATGATCAGTGATCTCAGCTCGGATCTGTGTTGGATTCAATGTTTTACCTTTACATGCGAGCATCTTTTCCCAGTCTGTGAAAGAAAATAGTAAGAATTAGTACAAATCTTGAAAGAGCAGCTTTATTATAACATGAATATTTTCTACCAACAGAAACCAGTCCAGTGTGTTTAGATTTACCTGGAATTTCTTTTCTTTTTTCTGTATTCGTTTCTTTGTCCTTTTTTTCAGAAACTATTCAAAGAAAAACAATGTCAGTGTTCTTTTGTCAGCGGTTTGAAATGATCTTTTCAGCTCACCTCTAAATCAGTGTTTCACCACTTTCTGGAGCCCCTGAACAGCAGAGTTTTGTGTTTTCACTGATTCAGAATAAGTTTATGATTCGCTAAAGATGTAACTCAGTGGGTACAGCAGAGAAAACACAAACAGGTTCCAAAAAAACAAACAGAGTCCAGCACCAGAGTCAGGAAACACTGTTCTAAACCTCATGATTGAAGTGGAAACACTATTTGAAAATGTTTCATGTATTTAAGAAGAGTTACTGTAGTTCAAGTGGCTCAGCTGTGAACGTATGTAGTTCATGTCATAGTGCAGGTCCTAATTACTGATTTAACGATTTACTGTCTACATCTTTACTTTTACTCTTGCTGAGATGTTGTGTGGAAAATTTATCAGGTTTTAAGTGTTTAAAGTGTTTTAACTCTGTGTAATTAACTATATGACAGTGTTACCTGGGGTTTGAGTGGCTCCATCAGTTCTGCTTATTTCTCTCAGAGCTGAAACTGGGTGTGGTGGAGTGAACTCTCCTTTAAAATAGATACATTTTAATGAAAAATACAGACAAACATGTAATTAATTACATTTAAATAAGTAGGTTTAATGCGGTTGTTATTATGTAATGTTTCATGCTAATTAGTGTCTCCAGCTTAAGATGTTTCTTAGTTCAAGAGCTTCACAGTGTAAAGTTACTATATACTATATAAACTCTAGACTCTTTTTGCTTTATTAACACAACTGTTTATAATCATATTTTATCTCCACATGTTTTTTAAGAAAAACGTATTTTTTTTATAAGGAATTTCTTTCTTTGCATGTTTTCTCACTGCAAGCTTAGATTTATTGATTTTTATTACAGTATAGTTTACAGTATATTACAGTAGTGATTCAAGTAATATTTCATTAGTTTGTTGTATTTATTTCTTTTTAGATTATTGGTATGGAGATCATCTGCTGTAATACCTGATATTAGCAGTTGCACATAATGTAAACACTGACATTGTTAACTGGCTCACAGTGATATAGATTCAGTAAACAAATGGACAGTTTGATAAATGTAAATGTAGTGAAATGATTAGAGGTATTTTTCAAGTCTACTCACCAACGAGACGTGTTTGCTCTTCTAAATGACAGAAAAGAGCACTCAGCTTATTATCAGTGCACAGTTCAAAAGCCAGTATTCATGATGGTATAGGGGACTTTAGTACACATGGTATGGGTGACGTGCACATCTGTGAAGGCACCATAAATGCTGAACAATATATACATGTTTTGGCAACATATGCTGCCATCCAGGTGACGTCTTTTTCAGGGAAGGCCTTGATTATTTCAGCAAGACAATGCCAAGCCACATTCTGCATGTATTACAACAGCATGGCTCTGTATTAAAGTAGTCCAGGTGCTAAACTGGCCTGTCTGCAGTCCAGACCTGTCACCACTGAAAACATTTGGAGGGTTATGAAATGAAAAATGTAACAAATGAGGTCCTGAACTGATGAGCAGCTGAAATCCTGTATCAGACTATAATGAGAAAACTACAGCAGTGTCTCCTCAGTTCCCAAACACTTACAGAGGGTTGTTAAAAGAAGAGGTGATGAAACACAGTGGTAAACATGTCCCCGTCCCAACTTTTTTGGAACGTGTTGTTGGCATGAAATTCAAAATGGGCATATATTTTTCAAAAACTCATGTAGTGAAATGATTAGAGGTATTTTTCAAGTCTACTCACCAACAAGATGTGTTTGCTCTTCTAAATGACAGAAAAGAGGAAAAATGCACCCACAAAATTTATAAAGAGTACACAAAACTTGAAATTATACTTTAATAATAATGATGATAATAATAATAATAATAATAATAATAATAACAAGCAGAAGAAGTGATAATATATTATGAAATAACAAAAGACTCATTTTCATTCTGTCAGTAATTCCATGGTGTGTTACTTTTAGCATGGACATAATTAAAACTATTTAATATTTGAAGATGCATCTTTCTCATAACAGCATTATCAATCTTGAATCTTACCTTTTGTAGCAGACTTTGGATTCTTTGGCAAAATATGGTCTATATTCCAGAAAAACAAAAAATAATAATTAGAATTGTTTATGATAGAATGAGGTCTGTGATTAAGATTCACAGATAACTGAACATTTTTACCTCTGATCTTGGGGATGATGAAAATTGCCATTACAGTGAAAACCAACAGACTGATAACCAGTAAGATGATGAAGGCTTTCCATCCTGGAGAAACTCCTGATCAAATATATGTGTTTTCTTAGTACATCTGACAAATGTAAAAATATTTAGATGATTGTTGTACAGTGTCAGGTCTAATGGTTTTACACTCACCTGGTTCTAATGTTGAGTCAGAATCACTAACAGAATCAGTTTTATAGACAGGTTTGAGCGGCAGCACTCTTCCCTCCTTCATCTCCTGATCAGATAAACCCACAGAACAGGAGATCCACTCTGACTCAGAGGGAGAGAAGAGTAGCCAAGAGCTCACACTCACCAACCCTTCAGAGTCTTTGCAATAAGAGAAAGAGACAGAGAGAGAGAGAGAGAGAGAGAGAGAGCACAGTGAGAGAGAGCCATCTTCCCAAATCTTTTACATTATTTATCATACTTCATCACTTTACCATTTTGCTGTCTTTTATACCACTGAAGAATAAATGTACAATAATCATGCAGTATAATGATCCAAAGGAGCTGCAGATTCAGGAAATAATCAGCCAGGGCATTGCTAGGCCAGTTTTAGAGGGGGAGGCGCTGCTGCTGCTCTAATACAGCACTGCCTGTGCTGTACTACCAGAGATTTACTAACATAACATGAAAAGTGGAACGCCCGACTTGGCCAATCATATCAGACCTCGTAAGTTGTAAACCAACAACAGTCATGGGCTGGAGATTAGGGAACCAGCCCTGTGACCGGAAGGTCGCCGGTTTGATCCCCTGAGACGACGACATGTGACTGAAGTGCCCTTGAGCAAGGCACCTAACCCCCAACTGCTCCCCGGGCACTGCGGATAGCTCCGGGCAAGTGTGCTTACTGCCCCCCTAGTGTGTGTGTTCACTAGTGTGTATGTGGTGTTTCACTGCATGGATGGGTTAAAATGCGGAGGTTAAATTTCCCTGTTGTAGGACTAATAAGGGTCACTTAATCAATCATATCTGGCCCCTTAAGTTGTTACTGAGCCAATCATATCAGACCCGGGGGCTTGTGTCCGGTTTTACTCACTCTGCAAATTAATGCAAGTCGGCAACCGCTGAAGCTGAAGACAGGATTTGGCTAAAACCTCACTAAAATAAATATTAGACCTTATTTAAAATCTATTATATACAAATTGAAACAGTAAGTAGTTACAGAGTGAAGGTGCCCATCTACAATATGGATTTGTTAAAAATTATGGCCAGTATAGCTGTCGGACTTTTACTAGGTTGTTTGTTAGCTAGCTAACTTTGGTTTTATGTGAGGCAAAGAAAGGGGTTAGGCTAACACTAGAATTAGCTAGCTGACAGGGCAACTAGTTTAAATAACATTGTTGACAGATCTTTATATTCTTTGTTTTTTTATTTCTCTTTATATACTGTTGTTTACAGAAAGTTAATGTCAGTGAAAATGTCAGTGTTGATCTAAAAGTGCATAAACACTTTTTATGCGCTATACTTTTTATTAAAATGCCGCCAGTAAAAAGTGTGCATGCTAGCCCTCCTATGTTAATGGATATAGTTAAACAAAACTGCAGTCTTATGGAAAAAATTGTTTACTGTGGTTTCAGGTCTTTAACTTTATATAGTCGAAATTTGTGGGCGGCACGGTGGCGCAGTGGGTAGCTCTGTCGCCTCACAGCAAGAAGAGCCTTGGTTCGATTCCCGGCCGGGCGACCAGGGTCATTTCTGGGTGGAGTTTGCATGTTTGCCTATTTGTTCTCCCCGTGTCTGTGTGGGTTTTCTCCGGGTACTCCGGTTTCCTCCCACAGTCCAAAAACATGCAGTCAGGCCAATTGTATGTCTGTCTGTCTGCCCTGCAATGGACTGGCGACCTGTCCAGGGTGTATCCTGCCTTCCGCCTGATGACAGCTGGGATAGGCTCCAGCACCCCACCGCGACCCAGGAGGATAAGCGGTTTAGATGATGTGTGTGTGTGTGTAGTCGAAATTTGTGAGAGCAAACATTCATGTTACTCATAAGAACCTGCATTTTTTCCTCCTCCAAGACGGTTGTGATGTGAGTTTTCACCTTTTTTGACTTGCATGTGATGCTTTGGCCTGGTACTGTAAACATCCCTTAAAACACTTTTAGAAAGCCAGATTGAAGTTGTTCTGGCTCTGATGCTATTATTGTACATTCCACTAGCACTGAAACAGAGTTTCAGAGTTTCAAATTTACCCATACCAGTCACTCTAAACATGCATGTTTTTATTTTTACTTCATTTAAATACCTGTGTTGTGACAAACACTGTTCCTGAGCTCTTTTCCTCTTTTATCTCTCCAGATGAGGGTGGGATTTGGTGACCATCCATCTGACACACAGGTAACATTCACCTGTTCTCCAGTTTCAGACAGTGAGAATAGAAGCGGAGATCCAACCACTGCGGTAAGAATTACTCCAGATTAGCTGGATCAGAATCTGTCTATAAATCTATTAAGTAAAAGCCTCAAGTCTAAGTAAAACAGTTACTCACCTGTAATATTCAGGATTACACTACCCCTCTCATACCATTCAGTGCTCTTAACAAAGCACACATATTCTCCTCTGTCTGCTAATGTGAGGTTCTCCAGTTTCAGAGAGACGTTCCCTTTCTGCAGTTCTCCAATCAGAGACACTCTGCCTCTGTACTGAGGATCTCCAATGTTCTCCTGGACCTTTAGATCTTTGTACAGCAGAATTGGGTTTTCTTTTTTGTTGGGACGATGCCAGCGTACTTCATAGCTCTTAATGTCCAACGCAGTGGAAAGTCCACATGGCAGGACAACAGAAGATCCTATTTGAGCTGAGATGAACCCATCAGGAACCAACAAAGAGAATGTACCTAAATGGGAGAATGTACTCAGTGTCGCTAAATTTTCAAATTAGGTTTCAAATCTGAAATGCCGTTTTATATTTAATATTGGAAAAAATGTATGGTAGTAATAGATAACTAATAGATATGGTAGTGCTAGAAAGGAAGGTAGTAAAAAGATAAGTACCTGCAACTGAGCAACTTTTGTTATTGGACAATATCCACAGAACAAGCACAGCTGTAAGTGTTAAAACATATTAGTTATTCAGGTGATTCATTGATTGCATGTTTTTAATAGACATTTCTTTGTAGTTGAAAACTCAAAAAAACACAGGTATCATAAAAGCACAGAGCTCGGCATGAAACATTTAACAAATATCATTTTAAACGTTCTCTGTAATAATAATTTTGGAGAAAAATTGTGCTGTGATTGACAATTATGATTCAAGATTTTGAGACTGGTACCTACGGAGCCCCGCTGGTGACATCCTATATAAACTAAAATAATGTGTGGCCGCGACTTAATAAGGCATGGGAATGAGATAATTTAGTCGTGGCCACGTCTTAGTAAGGCATAGGAATGAGATTCTAATGCGTGGCCATGACTTAGTAAGGCGTGGGAATGAGATAATTAAGTCGTGGCCATGAGTTAGTAAGGTGTGGGAATCAGATAATTAAGTCATGGCCACGACTTAGTAAGGCATGGGGATGAGATCGTAATGCGTGGCCTTAACTTAGTAAGGCGTGGGAATGACAGTTAAGTCGTGGCCATGACTTAGTAAGGTATGGGAACGTGATCCCAATGCATGGCCATGACTTAATAAGGCATGGGAACGGGATCATGCCTTGCTAAGTCGTGGCCACGCATTAGAATCTCATTCCCATGCCTTACTAAGTTACGGCCATGAATTAATTATCTCATTCCCACGCCCTGCTAAGCCGTGGCCACGCATTATTTTGATTCATACAGGATGTCACCAGCGGGGCTCCGTAGGTAACCCCTTTAATATCCTTTTAAAACATAAAACAATCATTTTCTGTGATGCAGTTCTGACAAAATTGTCTTTGAAGTACAAACCCAAATTCTATAAAAGTTCTATTCTGTTCTATTGAAATCAATGTCTGCAACATGTTACAAAGCAGTCAGGACAGGGACAATTTAAGACAAGGAACATTGTGAAATATTCCAAACACATATTAAACTGGCGATGCAAAAGGATCATCAAAGAAAGGCCTAGTCCGTTTTGAGTGAAGACAGATTGAACCTTGCTAAAAAGAGAGTAATCCAACAGTTTTAGAATATCATCAAAAGATTCAGGGAATAAATGTGCAGAAATCTCTGTGCATTAGGCCCAAAAACAGCAGTGCATTACAGATAGGCGTGCTTCTGTGATGGATGTCACCACATGGGTTTGGGAATACTTTGACAAACATGTTGTCCATAAACACTGTTGCTGCATCCTCAAATGCAAGACTGTACTATGTACAGCAGAAGCCTCATGTCAACAATGTCCAGAAACACCTCCAAGTGGGCTTGAGCTCATCAGAGTTGGACTGATACATCTGATCTGAGCAACCTTTCAGATTGTTTATGGAACTAATGGACATCATATTTTCTGAGAAAAAAGTACAGCAACATATAGCAAGATATGCTGCCGTTTTCAGGGAATTCCATGCGTATTTCAACATGACAACACCAAATACTGCATGTGTTACAACAGCATGGCTGAGTGATCAGAGACTGCGGGTGCTAGACTAACCTGCCTGCAGTCCAGACCTGTCCCCCATTAAAAAGGTGCAAAATACAACAACAAAGGCCTCGTATGGTTGCTCAGCATGTGTATAAGGCTACGTTCACATTACCAGGTTGAAGTTGCATAAATCCGTTTTTTTGCCCTAACGCGACTCAGATCTGATGGTTTCAAATTCGACCTGAGCGACTTTGGCTACGTTCACATTACAAGCCTAATTGCTCTAATCCAATTTTTTGCTCAAATCCGATCTCTCTGACATGATGATCCGATCTCTCTTCACACTCGTTTAGGTAAGTGACTTGAATCATTAATGTGAACGAACCGGCGTCCTGAAATGACCCGCATGAGCACATCCTACTCAGTAACGTCACGTGAATGAATCACGTTCATCATCAGCACAAACTAACGAGCAGAACGAGCTTCGCTGAGAAGATCATTAACTCTGATCAGCTCTCAGCTTCATTATTAGAGCGAGACGAAGGAGAAAAAGGTGAGATGAGCTGCTTTTCACCGTTTACAGGCTTTAACTTCTGTTCACTGAATGATGGGGGGGAAAAGCACATGAATTCCGATCTGAGCGTCACATTAAGGTCACATGGCCACGAATCAGATACATATCCAATCTAGGACCACATATGAAAGTGGCTCTGAGTGGATTTGAAAAGATCAGATTTGTGTCCACACAGCCCTGAAAACATCAGATCTGAGTCACATTAGGGCAAAAAATTGGATTTGTGCCACTTCAGCCTGGTAATGTGAAGGCAGTCTTTTTTTCATATGTGGTCCTAGGTCAGATATGTATCCGATTTGTGGCCATGCAACCTCAATGTGACGCTCAGATCTGAATTCATGTGCTTTTTTTCCACTGCGTGTGCACCATCATTCAGCGTTACCATGCTTTCTGCTTTCAAAACTGGATCATTTGGTGTCTTCAGTTCCCAAATGATTGTTTGATTGTTATTATAGTAGCATGTGAAAGGGAGCAGAAAAAACACCAATTTGCACTGCAATTATTTTCTGTGATATTTAATTATATTCATAATCGTCCCAAGGCTAAAACCGAATAACATTTTTGACTTTGTAGTTTGTTTCCTGGTTTTATATACGAACCTTGACCCTTCACATGTATTGTACCTGAAGATACAGTTTTCTTGGCAAACCTCAATATTCTATAATCAGAATTTTGAGTTAGTTACAGTCACTATGAACCAGTTTAACAATGTTCTCTGTCTTATATACACCAGGTGTCTTTATGACTCTCTATGCTAAAGCTGTGTTCTTTGGAACTCACCTGTTCGGAGTGTCCCCAGTGCCATAGTCCTCAGGTCAGTGAACAGAGGCTGAAAAAAGCCTCTTAAATAACGGTTAACATTGATCATCTTTTAAAAGCCTTTTTAATACAAACTGCTTTGTAGAAGCTTAAATGAAAAGAGAATGTGTCAGAAAACGAACAGCCCACTGCCTGTTAAACTTTAACCACAGTGAGCTAGTTGGTAAGCATTTCCTCTAAAAGGAGTGGCTGTACAGTATTACACTGTCTGTTACATTAAACAGGTACAATACAATGCAAAAGCTGTCATTGTTGCCACTGATGTATTTATTTATCTTTTACATTATGAATTTCACTTTAAAATTAAATAAACAATCTGTACAATAACAAAGCTACAGAAAAAAACAGCTATCATTTGGGAACATCTGGAATCCACCACAATATGGTCAATCTACTTTAATTATATTTACTCGTCTATAATTTCCTAAATATAGATTTTTTATTCATACCAGAACATAACACTTTTTATCCACCACACGGTTACATTTATCTAATTTTGATATGTAAAAAGAAACTGCTGTTGTTTTTACTTGCTGCAAAGTGAACAACAGATGCAATACATGTCAGCAGCTGCAAATCATAAGACAAATCATTGGAAAACTAAAAAGCAGCAAAGCAGCCCAGATATGATGTTCAAATATTTGTGCAACACCTCAGAATTACTATACAGTGCCCTCAACAAATATTGACACCGTGGTAAACATTAGCAAAACAGGTTGTAAAAATCATTCTTTATTGCTCACCCTTTTGATCCTTCATTCAAAATACTAACAAAAGTCTAAACTTCATTCAAAGTACAGTGATTAAAAAAAAACTTAATTTTATCAGGACTTTTTTTTCTCAAATCTCTGTGCCACAATTGTTGGCACCAGTTCATTTGATAGTTTATGTAGCCTCTCTTTGAAATGCTGTTGTAACACACCCAGAATGTGGCTTGGTGTTGTCTCACACACACACACACACACACACACACACACACACACACACACACACACACACACTCAATAAATCCAGAAAAAGTTGGTACTCCTTGCAGTCGCTTGGCATTACTTTTGTAATGTTTTGGCACCACCTTGTGGCCACATTGGGAAAAATGCAACACTTATTCAATCTCACAGCAGTGCAACACGCAATCTTGAAGCTCCTCTCAGATCTAAACAGAAATTCCTGAACTGCATCAGTGTACAAGACATAACAACCGTCTTTCTAATATAATAATATAGTATTTTATCAGTATCATGATAAATTTTGTTATTGTCATGGATTACTTTTCTGGTCATATTATAGACATTTGAAATTTACTTAGCATGTTGCTGTAACAAGTGTTTATTTTCCTCACCCACAATGTTTGTCAGAACAATAAGCCATATCAGAACAATAAATCGCTGCTAGCACAGTCAAATAAAACAAGAAAGAGGTTGTTTACTGTCAAATTAGTTTGCCAGTGTATTTTATGTTATTACATTCATTATACATTATAAGATTCTAAAGAGAAAAAATACAAACTTATTAGTAACGGCTACTGCTTTACATTAGATGTCATCACTATCAGAGCAAAACCCTGTATCTCCATTTTCGTCTGTTTTGTTCCAACAGTGGCAATATATGCTTCTCTAAGGGTGCAAGAAAATGTAACCAAAACTGTTTTACACATGAAGTTGGAAGTAGGGAAAATGAAGGAAGAAGTCCTTCTTAAGAACATAATCTATTTACTATAAAGCTAAACATCCATGATGATGCATACCTACTCACAGTGGTCCACAAGTTTATTCTTGCCCCACATATCAACGTTTACATTTTTGCTTCCAAAGAAACAAGACTAGGCAGGACTAGTTTTGCCGGACTGTCAGGATGCTCACCCACTCCCTCGCAGCATTTGGTAAATAACACCAGGTGCAAAGCAACCATTTTAAAAGTGAGGGGGACACAGTTGTCAGTACATGACACCCCTAAAACCCCACACCCCACACTTGTAGGTTCAGTACTACTATGATAAAGGTTGGAGCAGTATGTGCATTTAACAGTGAAGCCAATTTGAGTGCTTGGGGCAGCAATATACAGTCATACTCCACAGGAAAGGTAACCAGCTCACATAATGTCCAACATTAGCCTTTGAAGGTTTTAGCTAGACACACAATCTGCTCCAAGAACACAAAACTATGTTTATGCTCCAAAATAAGAAGCTGACCCATCAGTGACCAGTGGTGGGGTTAGTTACTCAAAAAATATTCCATTACAAATTACTGCTTCTCTCAAACTGTAATGGGTTCACTTTATTTGTTACTGCCAGGGAGAAGTAATCTCACAATTCTATCTACGTTACTTTCCAAACCCCAAACAAATCTGCACCAGCCTTAAATAGCCAGTCTCACATCAGTTAAAAGGCTCACCATCTCATAAGCTACACTATATGGACAGAAGTATTGGGACACTTACAGGAGCTTTTATGAATCCCTTTCTAAATCCATAGGTATTAAAGTGGAGTTGGTCCCCATTTTGCAGCTGTAACAGCTTCCGCTCTTCTGGGAAGCTTCCTACAGGATGTTGGAGAGTGTCTGTGGGAATTTCTGCCCGTTGATCCAGAAGAGCATTTGTGAGGTCAGACACTGATGCTGGACGAGAGGGCCTGGCTCACAATCTCCGTTCTAGTTCATCCCAAAGGTGTTCAGTGGGGTTGAGGTCAGGGCTCTGTGAGGGCCAGTCCAGTTCTTCCACACCAAACTCACCCAGTCAGGCCTTTATGGAGCTGCTCTGTGCACTGAGGCTCAGTCATACTGGAACAGAAAAGGTTCTTCCCCAAACTGTTCCCACAAAGTAAGAAGTCTACAGTTGTCTAAAATGTCTTGGTGCTGAAGCATTAAGATTTCCCTTCACTGGAACTAAGGGTTCTAGACCAACCCCTGAAAAACAGCCCCATATCATCATCCCTCCTCCACCAAACTTTACAGCTGGCACAGTGCAGTCAGGCAGGTAATGTTCTCCTGGCATTCGCCAAACCCAGACTCGTCCATCAGACTGACAGATAGAGAAGCTGATTCGTCACTCCACAGAATGCATTTCCACTGCTCCAGAGTCCAGTGGTGGTTACACCACTCCTCCCGACACTTGGAATTGTGCATTTTGATCTCAGGCTTGTGTGCAGCTGCTCGGCCATGCAAACCCATTTCGTGAAGCTCTTAATGTGCAGTTCTTTTGCTGATGTTGCTTATAGAGGCAATTTGGAACTTTTTAGTGAGTGATTTAACAGAGAATAGGCGCTGTGCACTTCAGCACTCGCCAGCCCCACTTTGTATGGACTACCGCTTTATATCCAAGCTGTTGTTGCTCCTAGGTGCTTCCATTTGACAATAATAGTCCTTACAGTTGTCTGGGGCAGATCTAGCAGCACAGAAATTTCACAAACTGACTTGTGGCAGAGGTGGCATCCTATGACAGTGCCATGTTAAAAGTCACTCATCAGTACGACTCATTCTACTGCCAGTGTTTGTCTATCGAGACTGCAAGACTATGTGCCTAATTGTATCCACCTGTTACCAATGGGTGTGACTAAAACACTTGAAATCAGTAATTTGCAGGGGTGTTCTAATACTTTTGTCCATATAGTGTAAATACAGCGAAAACTGAAAGTGAAAGAAAAACAACACCGTTAGCTGGCTGCTGGGTATGGAAGAAGGGCTATTTAAGTGACCATTTAAACAGGAAAGGCACTATGAACTACCATTCATTAAAAGTATTGGGGCTACTGTCACCGTTTATTTTTGCGTTGCTTTTTTTCTCCAAATTATTTTCTTGTTGAGATTCAAATAATTTGAACATCAGAATAACCAGTGCCTGTCCCTAGTGATAAAACTCTGCTACTCTGCACTTAATGTTGGCTAAACTACGTGTTTGTTCTATCTTTTGTTTCCCGCAGCTTCCATTTGGCTAATGCTGATTTTACGCGCCTAATTGGCTGAAAAAGAGCTGACGAGGAGCCACTAGAGCTCCCTCAGCTCATACTGAAGTTTCTGCCAGCACGTGGCAGCAGCAGCCCACAGCATAACATTTCAAGCAAAGACCCACATCCACATGAAAAGCAACAGCTTAGCGTTAGCTTTAGCTTACCTAATGCTGTATAACAAGAGAAGCTGGTGCCTTCTTCTACTGGACGAATGGCGGTCAGCTATGGGAGGCAAATCCAGCCAAAGCATTAATTATAATTAAAACAATAAAATGTAAATGCAGCCATTTCTTTTTTTCAAACATCTGTGCAAATATCCTGTCAGAATTGAAAATGAAATTAAATGACCCACATTTGCAATTTAGTTTTTCATGGGTAATTTGTGACAAAAATAAAAATAAATTTAAAACAGCTATTTGTCATTTTATTTTAGTCCATATTCTGGTATTTCATGGCCATATCTGAAATGGAAAAGCTAATAGATGAAAGAAAATCCAAGCTTCACTTTGGCTATGCCTTTTCTTCATGAAATGCAGAGTATGAGTCAAAACTAAAATCAAAATGCAATGTCTACATTTTTATTTCTATTTCATAGCAATAGGCTGCATATCTGACAAATGAAAATTTTCTGTGTGGATGCCTTTTAAGTGTCAGAATAAAAAGTCAAATGGAAACAAACACAGATGCCATCTGTTGGAGATTTACTTTTCATTTCCCACTTTGCTTTTTCGTTTTCAAATTAACCGACATGCAAATATATGTTAATTAACACTAGCTGGGGCTACGCTGTACATGTTAGGACTTGGCATGAATATTCAGTACTCTTGTACTGACACGGCTGTCATAATACTTCATTTTCACAATACATATCACAATATTTTCACACAGACACAATGCACTAGTAGTTCCACATTTAAACACTGCAAAAACTATGAACTATACAGTGATGTTTATTCAGTGTTTCACATTCTGCACTGGTCTAAATCCAGTTAAACAGGCCTGATTATGCTGTATTTGTAGTGAAACATGCAGGTGGTCAGTGTTCTTAAAGTAGACATTATATCCAAAATATACTCAGCAAAGTGTAAGGTTTATCAAGAAAAAGAAATTGTCATGATAACAATAAAATATCATCATATTGCCCATTTCTACTCTGCTCTGAAACACGTTAGCCTCTTTTCCACTGCAGGGCCAAACAGTTCTGCGCACGTAGGCTAATTGTGGCGGTTTGACACGGAATGCTAAGGGCTCAGCCTGTTTTTTCAGCATGGTCAGCTAACATAAGTCCAGTTCGCTCAAACAGACAGCAAATGAAAGCAGGGCACGATTTAAAACACACCATTCAATGTCAGAACTTCAATCTAACACCAGTTTCAAATTGGTAAATAGCGCTGCTGGTTAGCGTTAGCTTACTTTGCGTGCTGCCAACTGTGCTCACCACAGAACAGGTTGGATTCTGACTAACAAAAGCTTTATTGACACAAATTTAGATAACAGTGACTCAATTCTGAGGATGCGAAGTTCAGTGGCTGATGTTTGAGGGACAGAAAGCTGAAATTAAACCTGTTCTCTGGTGTCTGGAGCTGGAGCTTCCTAGCTAAGCTAATGCTAGCCAGCTCCTCTCTCCTAGTTAAATTAGCATAGCTGAAGAGATCCAAACACCCCAGTGCAGGTTAGGTTTAACTAACTGGTGCTCTGCTATTACAAGTATAGATGATAAAAACTAATAACAGCAAGACCAAAGTTGACTGATTGGCAGTAGAGTAATAGAAATCTGAAATCCAGCCGGTTCTGTTGTGCTTTAAGCTGTAGCCTGCTAGGCTACACAACCGTACGGTGCCTCCCACTGCAGTACAGGCTCAGTTCTAGCAAACTGATGATTAAAAACACCCATTTATAGAATAAAGACACGTATCTGAGATTACAGATTCAAATGACTGGTGTTGGAGCAACAGAAATAGCAAAAACACAGTTGTTCTGTGGAACTTTGAGCTGTAACCTGCCCGGCGACACTAATGCTAGTGTAGTTATCTGGCTACAGGTGAAACCCACCGCAGTACAGGCTGCACTGGGTTGTGATGGGTGATGTGTATGTAGCTTTTAGCCTGTTAGCCACTTGTTTGCATAATTTTCTTGAGTATTTCCTGGCTCTGATTTAGCGGCACAATAGATGGAAAAAGACTAGTCATGAGTCTGGACCAGCGCAGAATGGCACAGTACGGCCCTGAGAACCATTTGGCTCAACAGTGGCTGAGAGGCCATTGTGGTGGTGTTATTCCTATTCCATTAATGCAGTCTATGCACTGCAGTTTCTGTTCTAAGATAATCTTAAAGATTAAGTTCTCAGAGCATCTTAAAGCTTGTTTCACTGGAGTACAGTAGGACTGGACATGTGTTGCATTTCCCCAATGTGTGCATTTCCCTCAGCTGAAGTTTAGTTATTGTTGCTATAGTAGCTTTTATAATATTGTTTTTTTAAGAGAATTATATCTTATAAAAAATCTCAATTAAATTTAATGAGGTCATTTACTGTATAATTACAGTTTGTCCATGTATTATTATTATGATTATTATTATTATTATTATTATTATTATTATTTTACATTATTTGAAAATGCCAGCTGTCCCTTACATTGTGGAATAATTTGGAGGTTGGAGGAATAGAAATGGCTGAAAATTACTTGAAAAATGAAAGTCCTCTTAGTCCTATATAAATTTTACAGTGACAATATGCTTCTCAAAGGAAACAAGCAAAATAACTGAAACTAAGTATCCATTCACTGGAAAACTAAATATCCATGAACATACTCAAAAGTTTGGGAATACAGTTTATTCTTTGAGTTTATTTTAGCCACATAAATCAAAATTTACATTTTCGCTTGAAAAGTAAAAAACAAAAACAAAACTTCTTCTTTTGCCTCTTAAAACCAAATAAATAACTTTCTCCACAAGCCCCCTTTAGTCACATATTTAAATTACTACAATGTTAAAATGTTGATCAACAAAATAACCCCTCAAAATAACCGTTGAGATGAAGTTTCTACAAAACAGTGGGGATGAGATGGTGATTGCTGTTCAAGTGAGTTCCATAGTTGGTCTTGACCATGTATTTTTGGTAAAGCCAAACACTACAGGTGAAAAAGTGATGATTTTGGTCCTGTTGTCAGATTATTTATTTGTTTATTATAACATGTCTTCACGTCTCTTGTAATCAGCTGTAATTAAAATATCAGAACTCAACAGAAATATGTTAATTTCAGCATGTTTTAATCCATGTCCACTTGCATCTAACTGTATTTCCAAGTGTTCACTTTAAATGAAGGTCCTAGCTCCACCCACCCCTGTCACAACCATCCATGTCTTATACTCTAAATCTAAGTAGGATATCCAAATATGTGTACACTCTTGTGCACTAAATCCAAAATGGCAAAACATTAAACTTTCAATGGTCTTGACTAATTATTAGTCAGTAAATTACAGAGAATCAAACAAACAGATCAAATAAGTTAGTAAATGATAGCCTTTCACTTAGAAATGTTGACATTTTGTAAGTAAACTTGCAGACAACATTTTATAGAAAGAAGAGTCTATATTCTTCCACTTAGCACTGATGACATCACATAGTTGAAAAACACTGCCAAGTTATTTTGTGTTTAATGTGAGACCAAATATTCTTTAAAGGGTTTAAATCTGGACACTGGACAGACCAAAACCACCAGGAAAAACTATTAGTATTTTGGAATTGGCCCATTTTGTTGCACATTTGTGTTCATTCTTAATAATAACAGCAACATTCACACACACAGTGCATGTTTTCTGAGATCACTTGGTAATGCAGTTCTCAGGCCATGTTCTCAAAATCAGCTTCTCTCTACATTTACAGGTTCACTCTTAACCCTGTTCTGAAAGATATGACCAAACAATTTCTTAATTCATTGCTCATATATGGACATATGCTAGATATTGTACTGCAGAATGACCTGAAAAACACTTCACAGTTACAGCATTTTTCTTGATTAAACAACAATATAATGAGATTCCAGCTGTAAACTACTTTCACTGTAAACTACTTTCTCCAGAGTGTCTTCACAATACATACATACATCATCTAAACCGCTTATCCTTCTGGGTCAATGACAGCTGGGATAGGCTCCAGCACCCCACCGTGACCCACCGTGTCTTCACAATGAACGAAACATTTAAATACTAACATCATCCTGTGTATGTATAATTAATTATGCAGTGTCTCATTTGCATATTTAAATGTAGTTTAATACTTGTACTTAACTTAAGTAAAACTATCAGTAATAAGCCGAGAAAGATTCATATTAGGTTATTTCCCTGCAGTGTCTCACCTTAAAGCACCGACGAAACTGTTCTTGGAGTCCATTTGACTTCAAGTAACATTAATTTTAGAGAAAATATAAAAGGTCACAATCTTTTGTCCTTGGAATTATTAGATCAAAGTATTTATTATTCTTCATGTTCGACATTCTAAAAGTATGAAGATAAGATTTATTATCTACATTATAAAAGGATGGAGTGAAAATGAAACCAACGAAATAAACATTTTAACTCTAACATCGTCTAAAAGTTAGACTGTGTTATGCAATACTTTTAGTATCAGTGCTCAAAAATATCAGTGGTGAACCGGAAAAGGTTCATTGTGATATTTGAAAAATGACCTATTTGACCTTTAATGTTGTGTCTTAAAGGGCTGTACAGTCACACAACATTACTAACTATGAAAACTTACAGGGTGATTATCTTTTATTCCTGGACTGATTAGAGCAAAATATGTATTATTACTCATGTTATTCATTCTAAAAGTATGAAGGTGAGATTCTTTATCTACATTATAAAAGGACAAAGTTTTGTGTGTGAAGTCTAAAATCAGACCCAGGGTGGTAACGTGATCTTCAGCAGGTATCTGAGTGCGAGGGTCAGTACTGGGGTAAATACCACAGCGTTCTTCATAACAGAGAGCTGTGAGGGTCTCTTTAGTGTGGGGCTCTTGAGTGACCCCCACACACCACGACTTTTTACTCTTTTCTTTCTGATCCACTGTAACTTCCCAGTATTTCAGTCCTGAGGAGAATTCTTCTTTACTCAGAACGTGAGGAAATGTGTGAACATCAGATCTGCTCCGTTTCCCACAGGACACACCAGCTCCATCTTGTGTCACCATCAGAGGTTTTTGGCATGTTTCAGGATCTACAGTGAGCTTCTCTGTGAAAGAAATCGAGGAATGAATTTGTCTGCCCAGAACAGTAAAGATGGTTGTAAGTGAATGAATGTTAAAGATGAATGGACTTTTATTTACCTTTATCTATTCTCAGCTTATTCCATGTCCTTAATATTTCATCACCCGAACCTGTGAGATATATTTATTTTAACACTGTTCACTTTTAAAACATTGAAGTAGAAAAGCTTATATTAACCATGTCTTGTACATGTTAAATACAGAATATGAAAAACATCAAAAACATTTAATTTTATTTACTTTATTTTCAGTAATATTCATTCTAATCACACATCATAAATCACAAATAAAGTACAAATGAAAACCTGTTACCTGTAAGGGGAATCTTTTCCTCTGTGGTGGATTCATGAGAATCGATTTTATGACAAAAATAAAAAGTTAATATCACACATTCACCATTTTAAAATATGATCAACACTGTCGACTCAAATAATGTACTCATTAAAAGGGGCTCAATATATTCTATCACTATTGTTAAAACCCCTGTGAGAATGAAAACCCAGTAAAATAAAAGTATACAGTAGATCACTGCAGTGTTTCTGCTGTCACTTTATGCATATAGAAGAATATAGTTGTTCATCTCTTCTCAGACTCAAAGGGTCTGTATGGGGGGCTTATACATTAGTGTTGGAGTAGATATAATTTACAGCAGTTGCTGAAAAAGACTTAAGATTCTTAAGAATAATAAGCCTGCAGTTTAAGTGTTAGATTTCTAATAAATCATTTGTCTAATAATTCATGACATTTTCGTAGCAGGATTAAAGACATGCATAAATACATTAATTGTCATTGGGTTTTTATCTGAGCACGTTTGACACTGCACACTGGATGCATCACACCGTGTAGCATCACAAAGCAGAGTGCTCCTGTACTACATACATCACAGTGAGAGTGCAGATAAATATTAATTCAATATCATTTATAACACTTGGCAGAAGTTCACTAACTCTTCACAAACTTGTTGTTTCAGCACTGAAAGATACAAGGTGAAAAAAGACCAGGCTACTAACGTTTGCTGAGGTGACACAATTAGCTTGTGTCTGTTTATTTTTATTTGTTTATGTTGTGTTATTTAAAATTCAAATGAAAACGCATGGCAGCGTTGCAAGGAGAAGCCACTGCTCCCCAGAAAGAACACTTATGGCTGTCTTCGGTTTGCCATCACATGGACGAGCTAGGAGGATATTGGAAAAATGTTTTATGGATGGATGAGAGCAAAATAGAACTTTTTGCTTTAAATAAGAAGAATTATATCTGGAGAAAGGAAAACACTGCATTCCAGCATTAGAACCTTATCCCATCTGTGAAACATGGTGGTGGTAGTTTCATGGTTTGGGCCTGTTTTTGCTGCATCTGGGCCAGGACAGCTTGCCATCACTGATGGAACAGTGAATTTTTAGGTAAACCAGTGAATTGGAAAATGTCAGCATTTCTGTCTGTGAACTGAATCTCAAAAGAATGTGGGTCATGCAGCAAGACAACGACCTTAAGCACGCAAGGCATTGTACCGAAGTATGTTTAGAGAAGAATAAAGTCAGTGTTTCGGAATGGCCAAGACGAAGTCCTGACCTTAATTCTATGGAAGTGTTGTGGAGAGACCTGAAGCGAGGAGTTACTGTAAGGAAACCCACCAACATTCCTGAGCTGAAGCTGTTTTGTACGGAGGAATGGGCTAAAATTCCACCGAGCTGATTTGCAGGACTGATCAACAGTTACTAGAAATGCTTAGTTGCAGTTATTGCTGTAAAAGGAGGTCACACCAGATACTAAAAGCAAAGGTTCTAATACTTTTGCCCCTCATTTTCCTTAATTAAAAATGGCCAAGTAAAATGTTTTTGTGTTATTTCTTTAATTGGGTTTTCTTTATGTACTTTTAGGACATGTGTAAAAATCTAACTATGTTTTAGGTCATATTTATGCAGAAATATAGAATTCTAAAGGGTTAACAAACTTTGCAGCATCACTGTGTAGTGCGCTACCATATAGTGCTGCTTGAAAGCATATCTATCTATCTATCTATATATATATATATATATATATATATATATATATATCAAGAATAAACTTGGCAGCTGATGAGACAAACACACATGATCCTGTATGTATTTTAGAAATGTTTTTGTACATATACTTCCTTCTAGAAGGTCCCTCTTGTGAAAAGTAAAAAAGAAAGTAATAGATATTCATTTCTACATACAGAAGTTTCAAGATAGATTTTAATGTCCAGTAATCTGGACGTTTGGACTTAGTAAGTTGCTTTGATTAGTATAATAGACTCATGCATTACAAAACTCAATCATGCAAGATTTTGTTAACGGTAGAATTTTACGTGTATTTAGGAGTGTCAGTAGATGGTGTTCTGTGAATTTGGGGTTAATGCTGTTTTTAGTGATTTCAATGGATTTTGCTGTCCAGTAAACTGGACATTTAAATTAAGCATATAACATCTGCAAGATTTTGAAAAATGAGCATCTTTCTTGTCATCACCCTAACAGACCTAATCTAAAAACTGAACATTGTGTGTTTAAGAAATGTCATTTCTGAAACACAGGAATGTTGTTTCTGTCTATGACACTGTGCTCACGTATAAACTGTAATATGTATAATATTATGTAGCCCAGTTGAAACTTTCAGTTCAGTTTATTTTTTTTTTATTTTTTAAGTGAAGTAGCAGTTCAAAAATAGATTCAAGTGAATCTAAAAGTTTGGGTTATTTGATTAATTATATTTCTGAAATAACTCTTATTTCTCCCTCTTTCTGAAAAAAGAAATGAGAACACACCATAAGGAGCAGGGAAAGGAGCGGGGAGACAGATTGAACTATTTGGCGCTCATAGCTCATATGTGCGACCTGAAGTTTATTATGTTCGAGTGAACGACTGTCCGAACGTTCTGTGAGTACATTCCAGTGCAGGGTTGGTGAATAGAGAGCCTGTGTAGGAGTTTCACACGCAGTTCGTCGAACGTCTGAGTTAAGAGCTTAGCTCGATAAGCTAACTACAGCTAAGTCAAGCTGTAGTAGGCTAACACAGGCTGCTAAATTGCACCCTAGCTTTATACTCTTTGGCCCAATCCCATTTCACCCCTCACCCCTACCACTGAGCCCTACCACTGAGCCCTCTGTTTTGCGCGTTCACGTCTAGGGGTAGGGTGTCCCGATTCTTGTTGAGATAGAAGGGTGGGGTGAAGTGTTAGGGCTACATGGCCCTCCAAACAGAGGTTTTTCAGAGACTCCAAACAGAGAGATATGAGAAAAAAAGAAAAACTGGCGAGATGGCTGAACAAGAGACCAAAGAAACCCACAAATGTGAGAATTTTCTCCATTAAAAATTATGATAACCATCATATTATCTGTACTATATATGATTATGATATATCATATCATATATGATTTCAACCACTACCCTGTAACTCAGTTCCAAGGGGTTAAGGTGACACTCGAAAACAAGAGGTAGGGGTAGAAAAAAGGGATTGGGCCTTTATATTAGTACGTTAACTAGCTCAGTAAACGTAATTCTTCTATAGTGTGTTTATTATCATCGCCTTCCCAAGTCTACCAGAGTACAGACTTTCCAGTTAAAGACTGGGCTGACCGGCAAAGCCCCAGTTTCCACTAGCTATTTGAGTACGTCACTGCCCTGTGTGTCTGGCTGCTCGACTATGGTGCTCCATTCCACTGCTGCAGAGAGAAAGCGCGCAAGAGAGAGAGACAGGTGTGGTAGAGAGACAGAGCCACTCCCGCAGGTGTAACTTTCGCTTTGTTTATTGCTCTTCGGAGTGAAGAGGCCAGTTGCATTTTTTATCAGCTCCTATGCACCTGAGCCCATATCAGGCCTGCAACGAGGGGGGGTAGAGAACTGGTTCGTTTACTGGACACTACTCTGAGACTCTACTCTGTCCACGCAAGCTGTGCGTGAGTGTGTGTGGGCCCTTTTTTATTTTGTTTTATTTGTTCAGGCTAATATTTTCAACTAAAATTTACAGCGTTGGATGTTTTCTGTCTTTTGCATATTCAGAAGTTATCTGCTAGTATTGTAATTGTATTTCATGTTCATATTGAGTGTATAGTGCTAACTTAAAGTTCTGTCAGATAAGGTTGTCACAGACATTTATTAGTCACCTAAGCCTAACCAGATTTATCATTTACTGAGTACCCCAGGGCCCCCAGCTAGATTGAATCACTAACCACCAATCTACTGGGTACCTAGCTGGGGCGCTACAATTACATATAAATCTATGGAATATGTATTGTAGTTAATGTAATGTTTTCTGACTTTTTTCTTAAGTGACCTTGATTGTTTCAACCATTTGTTAATTTAAGACAGTGTGTATGCTTTGTGTTAAAAAAGCTCTTTGTTTGCTGAAAATATTAGTATTATTATTAGTAGTAGTATTTTAGGAGCCATGCGTGCAGACATCCAGGTAGTTCTAAGAATTAAGGAACTTTTTTTTCAATGCAGCTGTGCGTTGTAAACAGTTCAGTGCTTGATTTGTTTCTTCTTGTGTTGCTTATAATACAAATATTAATTTTTCAAAACTCTCACATTTCATGTGCCTCAACCCAAATGTCCACTAAACACTGAATATTATGTTTTGCCCAGTAAACAAAAAAAAGTCATGTATTATGTTATTTAGTATGCGCCAGAGAACATGTTTCATCACAAAAGATTGTTGTTTTAAAAGTGTCCAGTCTCTGGACTGAGGAGGTTCTATTACTACTTGGAATATTTGCTAAATGTTTAAATGTTTGTAAATGTTTGTAGCATGTTTTTAAGAAACAGACAAATGTAAAGTTCATTTGTCTTTTACCTTTTTGACCTTATTTACATTCTGGAAGTCCCTTAATTCCAAAGTTCTATATTCACACATTTCTATATTAGATAGATAAATAGATATATAGTTAGATAACTTCTTTAGAAATGTGCTATTTTTGACTATAGTTAGTACAAACTAATCTATAAAAACTGCAAGCACAGAAGTTTTATCAGGGAAAGTTACTAAAGTATAAAACACACCTGCGTCTTCTGCATTTTTATGAGGTGAGCAGTGTGGGACCAAACCTGTTTAAAGAAACAAAAATGAAAAATAACTATATTATTGCTGCGGTATGTTGGAGTTTATGCCCAAAACTTTATTCATAAACAGTTTTAGTTTTAAACAGTACCTTGTCTTACTAATAGAAGAAGAGCAGCGAGGATGATGATGATAATTAATGCAAGTACTAGAGTGGAGATGAACGCCTCCCTCCAGATTTCTGCAGAAACATAAACATGGATTCAAAGTGGCGCTAAAATTATCAACAGGTTAATAACAGAGTTTTGGATTAGTGGTGATATATTTTGTCCATAAATGTTGAGACAAGTCAAAAATGTTTTTCGTGATATTGTTATATTTTTCTATTCAAGAAAGATGAATTCAAAATTTGAAGATGAGTGAAGGTATGAGACAAAACTGCGAAATATCATTTTATGTTCCTGAACAAACTCAAATGTATAATTATTTATATGAAATGCTATAATACAGTCTATACTATATACGTGAAACTTGCTTATTTAACACCTTATAACGTTGTACTACATTTGGAAATTAGACAGTAAAGTGGATAGACAGATATTCAGAGACAGTATTATGGGTCTTACCCACTGTAGAGACAGGTTTGAGTGGCGGCACTCTTCCCTCTCTCATCTCCTGATCAGATAAACCCACAGAACAGGAGATCCACTCTGACTCCAAGGGAGAGAGAAGCAGCCAAGAGCTCACACTCACCAACCCTTCAGAGTCTAGAGGGTGACAGTGAGAGAGGAAAAACGTGGGTGAGAGGAATAGGTTTAAAATGACTCCACAAATACTGTTATTTTTATTGTCAATGAAATTATAAATCTTTATGTACTCTACACACAAACTACGTGATTTGTAGATATCTGAACATCACATCCATATATGCTCAATGAACATTTCATTCTATTTTATATCCAATAACATGGAATCCCCCCGAACTATTTTCCCTTTATTGAAAGGTCTTACACTAGATATGGGAACATGCATGGAGGTATTCACTTCTATTCAGCCTCAAGAGTGAGGTTAGTGATTAGTGAGGTGGCACTTATGTTTATTGATAAGGCCTGGTGCGCAGTCTACCACTTCATCTCAAAAGTGTTGAATGAGTTGGAGGTCATGCACACATTTTTTCATGAACTTCACTTTGTGCAGAGGGGTACTAACATGCTGAAAAAGGGTCTGCTACAAGCCACTGCCAGATGGTGAAGTGTGATTCATCTCTCCAGACAATGTTTTTCCAATGTAGTTTGGTGTGTGATTTACATCACTCCAGCTTTTGCTTGGCATTGCACATAGTGATCTTAGGCAGCTCTTTGGCCATGAAAACCCCATGGACACATCCACAATACCGGTGACACGCAGCGCATGTGGCAGGGCATTGAAGCCCTCAACAGCTACAGGAAAACATCTCCCTCCTGCGACAGTGATGACTCCCTGCCAGATGCACTGAATGACTTGTATGCACGGTTTGAAGCACAGAATAACGTGGCAGCAGGAAAGACCACCCCTCCACCCAGCAACCAGGTACTGTGCCTGGCCACTGCTGATGTGAGGAAAACTGTGCAGACTTAACCCACAGAAGGCTGCTGGACCAGACATTATTTCTGGCAGAGTGCCCAGGGAATGTGCAGACCAGCTAGCGGGAGTTCTAATGGACATCTTTAACATCTCGCATCTGTTGTTCCAGCATGCTTCAAGGCCACCACCATCGCCCCCGTGCCGAAGAAATCTCCAGTGTCTTGCCTCAATGACTATCGTCCTGTCACACCCACACCCATCATCATAAAGAGCTTCAAGAGGCTTGTAATGAGGCAAATCAAAACCCAACTGCCTCCTTCACTGGACCCTCTGTAGTTCGCTCAAACCGCTCTACAGATGACACCATAGCCACCACTCCTCATCTGGCCCTCACTCATCTTGAGAAAAAGGACACTTATGAATGCTGTTCATAGACTTCAGTCCAGCATTCAACACAATCATCCCTCAGCATCTCTTTGGAAAGCTGAGCCTGCTGGGCCTGAACACCTCCCTCTGTAATTGGATCCTCGACTTTCTTACTAAGAGGCCTCAGTCAGTCCAGATCAGGAGCAGCATCTCTAACACCATCACACTGAGCTCTGGAGCTCCCGAGGGCAGTGTGCTCAGTCCACTGCTGTTCACTTTGCTGACTCATGACTGTCTGGCAGTTCACAGTTCCAACCACATCATAAAGTTTGCTGATGACACTACTGTGGTTGGTCTCATCAGCAAGAACGATGAATCAGCATACAGGGACGAAGTGCGGCGACTGACAGACTGGTGTAAAGTCAACAACCTACATCTGAATGCGGACAAAACAAATGACATGGTTGTTGACTCCAGTAGAGCACAGAGTGACCACTCTCCACTCACCATCAACAACTCCACTGTATTGGTGTTCACCTAGCGGAGAACCTCACCTGGACCCTGAACACCTGCTTCATAACCAAGAAAGCCCAGCAGCGTCTCTATTTCCTGTGGAAGTTGAGGAAAGCTCATCTCCCACCATCCTTACACCTTCTACAGAGGCACTATAGGGAGCATCCTGAGCAGCTGCATTACTGCCTGGCTTGGGAATTGCACTGCCTCCAACCGCAAGACCCTCCAGCAAATAATGAGGACAGCTGAAAAGATCATCAGGGTCTCTCTTCCCTCCATCACGGACCTCTCACACCAACTGTTCTCTCTTCTGCCATCTGGAAGAAGGTACTGCAGCATTCGGGCCCTCACAGCCAGACTGGGCAACAGTTTCTTTCCACAAGCCACCAGATTCCTCAACTCCCACAGACCCACACCCACATGTACATAACAACATGGGACTAACTCACTCCCCACTTCTTGCAGTTCCAAATTATGTCTGGAGCACTGTATTTAAATATAGTTGCATTTATACTGCATTTCACTGAAACACTTCATTTGATATGACTGTAGATCTGAATATTTGCATTTTGCACATTTTACTTTAACAGTTTTAGTTGCTAGAATTACTGTATCAACCAAATACTGTTCACCATTGCTGTTGTGGTTGCTACCTCAGTGACTGCTATGCTCATATATGCTAGGCTATCTGCTAAGCTGCTAATATGTCATAGTATGTTACATCCTCCTTTGCACAGCTCCACTTACTCTCAGTACTGTGTACTGCCTGTGTTCTGTTTTGTATTTACTGTAAGTCTTTTGTATTTATTTATTGTGCTGTATTGTCTGAACTGTGTTATTGTACTGTCTCACACTTGTGTTCCTGTGCTGTTCCTGGAGGAATGTTGTTTCATTTCACTGTTGTTTCATTTCACTTGTATAGAGCTGAAACAACAAAGCCTTACTTGACTTGAAAAGGAGACAGACGGAAAAGAAGGAAATTTGCACCAAAACACCTAAACAGGGTATCTGAGATGCGGAGGTTTGAGATGAGTCTGAATGTGAGATCTTTGGAAATGGGCCACTGAGGCAATGAAAGACTCCGAACCATGTCTACAACCATCAGTGAAGCGTGGTGGAGGATCAGTCCAAGTTTGGTGCTTTATAACATCTGGAGATTCGTTTTTTGATTTAAAGGCATCATGAATGCTGATAAGTACAAACCAATTTTAATACCTCTTAAAAACATTTGATTTCAGTGTAGAAACCTGTTATATAGTGATCAGTACTGCTCTCAAGTTCTCTTCCTCCTCTGTCTTTCCAGATGACTGTAGGCCTTGGTGACCAGCCACTTGATGCACAGGTAACATTCATCCATGCTCCAACTTCAGCAAAGGAGAAAACAGGAACAGTTCCTAGGGCTTAAGAAGATAAGAAAAGTTTGAGAGTTGGAAGGTTAAACATCAGTAAATATGTAAGTGTTGTTGTAAATGTTGCTTACAGATTGGTTTTGTTTGAATAAAATGATTATCTTTAGGCTCCTACCAGTTTAATCCATAGCTGTTAGTTTTGTACTGGAATGTTAGTTTTGATGGAAATGATGTCACATAATTGATTTCACAGCTTACATATTTCTTATTCATCCATCCATGTGCAGGTGTCTTTACTTTGCAAATGATTTAGGCTGCTCTAGTGTAGCTTTTTTGTATTAAAATGTCCAGAATCTAAACTGAAGGGGGTTAAACTCTCAGATTTCGCAGTATTCGATTAGACATGGGTTTGTTTGAGGTAAAGTGTGAGGTGCCGTTCTTACCTTTCACTAGTAACGATATATTGGCTCTGTCATACCACTGTGGGCTCTCAACATTGCACATATATTCCCCATTATCCGCTACTGTGAGGTTCTCCAGTTTCAGAGAGACGTTCCCTCTCTCTAGTTCTCCCATCAGAGACACTCTGCCTCTGTACTGAGGATCTCCAGCGTTCTCCTGGACTTTCAGGTTCTCGTAGAGCAGAATGGGGTTGTCATAGTCTTTATTTCTGTACCAGCGAAATTCAAACGTTTCAGCATCATAGGAGGGAGAAAGTTCACAAGGCAGGACGACTGAGGATCCCAACACAGCTGACACTGAATTAGGAACCAGCACCGAAAATTTCACTGAAAGAGAGAAATATGACCAGGTTTTATTACATTTTCCAGAATGTAACAAAAGTGCAAATTTAGGTCTAAAATAGAAAAAAGGTTACCAGCTTTTGAGGTGCTGAGAAGAGTGAACATGATCCATAAAAACAGCAAAACTGTCAAAGACAGAACCATGTTAGTGATTATTGTTATTATTGTTGTTGATGTTGTTGATGTTTTTGTTGCATGTTCTGTGTTTAAAAAATGTAGATGATCTCACACAGTGTAACAATATCTAGATTTAATTTATTTTATAATAACTGGAACCTTTTACTGGCTGTTACTGATGGCATAACAGATATTAAATTACTGATATTAGGTGATTTTTGGTCTCCATTCACTTCATTAGAAATTTAACCTTCGACTCACCTGTTTTCATTGTCTTTCGGCTCTGGTGCTCTTATCAATGAAAGCTAAATGAAAAACAAACCCAGTCAAATGAGTAAGTATTTGCTGCTGAATACTAACATCATTAGAAATAATACATATTTCACATGAACATTACATGCATATGTTTTGAACACAATGCACACTTTCAGCATATAGAACGTGTGTAATGTAATCTTACACCTTAACTGTCAGCTCTAAACCTGAATCCATTTTACTTTCACTTTCTTAATAACTCCAAAAAACAAGCCACAAAAGTGTTAAGATGAATGAAAACATACAATAAAATATTATTGGCACAGACTTAAACAGCAGCCACAGAGTAAATACCCAGCTTACCTGTATGTGGAGCCAGTGAGGTGTAATGTAAGGTGTTAAATGATCTTGAAGAGAGTCGGGATGAGTCTGGATTACTACTACTAAGAGCTGTTGAACACTGGAGGAGGAACATTAGACTACAATTATAAGGAGTTTGATTCAGAGCCGCTGTGCTTTGTTTTTCAACTGTCGCCGCAACTGGAAGCACCAGAAGAATGAGGAAACAGACAGGGGGTGGGAATCAAGCTGTAGAAACATGTTGACAGTTTTGTTGACTGGATTTGGAGTAGGCTGTTTATTAATCAAGTGTCTTATTTCATATAATCCATAGTAAGGGTCTTTACCGTGGTGGATCCTCTAAATTACGAACGGCTACTTAAATAATTTTTTGATAACTGATGGTGTTAAACGACCTGAGTTCCACCAACTCAAATATGTCATGTACTGCAAATATTTTGAATATGATACATGAACACTGGAACAAGTGAACACTGATTAATGGACTACTGCATAAATACAAACACCTGGCTGCAAAATTATCAGATTCACTCACTACAATTGGTTTCCATTGGTACTTCTGCCAGTCTAAGTCAGAAGCTGATCACAACCAATTGTTTACCTTTATAACCTTCATAACTGCAATGCGAGCCGACCACAAAACATCATCATGGTTACAATAACAGGTGCCAGTACAGTGAATCCAAACTCCATGTTTAACATGAGGATATTTTTATAATCCAAAAGGAATTTTATTTGAAAATAACAGAAAATAGGACAAATAAGAGCCAATTAACAGAAACCAACAGTATCAGTAAGAATGCTGGGAAGCTCCGCCTTCCAGCTGGCTTTACGTCTACAAATATGATGTCAGACGTAAACTGTCATTCAACTCTCAGTAAGGGTAATATATTTATGTTGTTTTTTTTCAGATTTCAGATATTTTTAAAACGTTAATTTAGCTTTTAGTTTCAGTTTTTAGGTCTCTCCCCATTCAAAGAGACTGGGCTGGTCTTGTATGAGTGGAAGTAACTGCTAACTTTCCAATAAGGACTTTGAATCAACCCAGGGTTAAGCTCTTAGAAATATTTGGATAGTTGCTGATTTTTTGGACCGACCTATGAAGGAATTTACATGCCCATATAGACATTGAAATTCTTAAATATTAGGATTATTACATCCAGGTCATTTCTATTGTGGAAATGTATGTTTCCACATTAATGTTAAAATACGTCAGCATATCTTTAATTTAAGCCTTCGGAGTAGCTAGGTTCTAAAGCTGGAACATTATGCTTTCATTAAACTTTGGAAACGTATGTTTATTTGTTTGTTTTGTGGCTTTTTTTCAATTATTTTGGAATATTTCCAGAAAAATCATGTTATTTACTGTTCGAAAAACTGTTGTAACCTTGTTAGGAGGGAGCATAGAAGCCATTTTAGTTGAAATTTCGTGGAATGACACTTTTATGGCTGCCTTTGATATTCAGCCACACATACAAACACTGAACCAATTGAGCTGTAGACTTTAACTTTATATACACACATTAAAACGTACATCACAAAGGCCTGTTAAAATATATCATCTTAGATCATTACTACACTACAGACATAGATGCCTGTTGTTTATCTGCCACACCTTGGCCACTCCCACCTGCTTAGAAACCAAGACTGAAATGCAGGCAGCCAGCGAGTAGATCAGAGCTGAACTGGAGAGACAGAGAAAATGCTGCCTGACTGGTTCAACTGTAAAACTGCAGCATGTTTAAAGACTCTTCATCTGTCATAGACGTCCTCACAAAGTGCATAAATGACTGTGTATCTTTTAAAGCAGTCCAAACCTGAAACCATGAACTGTAAATCTGCAAAGTGACAGACTGAAAAATCAAATCTTAACATCTTTATAAAATCAAATCCCTGAAAATTTACATGAAATGTAGTCAGTCAGCCCAGTTATGTTTGCTGTCTGAGGTTTGCTTCTTTAGTTTTGTACTGGAGCCAAGAGGCTGATGTAACACCGCAGCACTTAGCATCACTTAGCATCACTTACCTCTAACTGTGTTAAGTAATTTATAATAGACTTGCTTATGTGGTTTCAGACACTTAAAGTTACAGTGGCTGGACATCTTCATTTACCCTGTTGAAAACCCAGCATCTTTACAAAAGAAAAACAAGGCATACAATTCTCCTGACGCATTTCACTGAGGTATATAAAAGAGGCGTATCTAGGCGTATGTACATGTTATTTCTAGTTAATTGTAGCTGTAGCTGTAGGGCTAATACAACAGGCCCTCTGTGAATTTCATATGTAAACTTATACAACAGTTAGTTCTGGCCACGCAAGCTGATTGGTTGCTAAGTGTTCTAACTGTGGTGTTATTTTGCCATAACCTCACGGGTTTTTCACAAACACTGTATCACTCCGCTGAGGCGCTGTTGCTAAGCAACGACTTTGAAAGCTGTAGGAGACGCTCGAGCCATTTGAACGTTTTTACTTCTTACTTTGCCACAAACCAAAAATGGACACTTTTACGATCACATTTGACCGACAGCCGATTTGGTCAGACTCTGACGATGAGACGACACTAAATTCCCAAACTGTCATCACCACTGAGCAGCTTTTCAGTCGGCAGCTGTGACAGAAGAACAGCTAAACAACCTGGAATCAGCCAGAAATGAACCCAACACCATTCGCCAAACTAAATGGGCTGTAAGATGCTTTACAGACTGGCTGGAACAAAACAACATTAATACTGATCTAGAAACTGAGCTAAACTTGATATTGCGGCAGTTTTATGGCTCAGTCCGTACTTCAAAAGTCGAGGCTTACAGCATCAGCAGTTTTCTTGGACTTCACACAGGGCTCACCTGGTATCTCAGCGAACCTCCACTTAGTCAGTCCTTGTGTTTATTAAATGAAGCAACAAGCTGCTTGTTAAGGAACTATAATTTGGTGAAGGAACTGCGAACATAAACATATTAAACGCCGCGTTCACGGCCCAGTTTATTAATTTATTACTCTATTTATTTAACTGTTGTATAAAAGCAATAGAACATGTGTTCTAGATCTCGTGTTCTACTGTTTGAGTATCTAGATCTATTGTTTACATTAAATTCATGCTCTAATGTAGGATGGTAGAGATAGACAGAGCAAGGGCATCTTTGATGATGGTATTATATAAAAATGAAGGTCATGTGTTTCTCCATAAGTATTTTGGCATTCAACAGAACAGCAAAACATTTTTTGTCATTATTCTGTGGATCTCACCCGTTTCGCTCCCCTTGTTTCTGCTGGCCAGTGATGTAACCATGGTGTCCACTCCAAATTGGCCTTTATAGTCTATGCCTTATCACAATGACCAAATTTAGCACGATAACGATAGAATGTCTTCATATTGCCCGCCTCTGCCATGGATTATTCTAAAGGTTCTGTTGAAAGCTTTTTCCCTGCACTAAAACAGGTTGTGTTGATTGTGTTATTTCTTCACTGTACACAGATAAAGTTCATAAATTACTGTTCAGTTCCCAGAGGATCTTAGAGATTGCTTGTTGCAGTACAGTAAGATTGGACGTCTTGTATTTTCCCCACTGTGGCCACAGGGTGGGGTCAAAACATTACAAAAGTAAAGCCAAGCGATTTCAAAGAGTACTAAGCTTTTTCTGGATTTGTTGAGTAGCAAAAAACAACACCAACCACTCTGATTCTACTTTGCCATGATAGATTTTAACATTTTGAGTTTGAAAGTAGGGAAACCAAATTATAAACATAGAAAACAACAAATTTACAGATTTGCACTGAAAGTTATCTTGCTGAGAAACTGTCTTCATTTAAAGTTTACTTTACGTTGCTATAATAATAAACTATTTTTTCTCCCATCAGGAAGTTTATCAAACCTGTAAACATTATCATAACAATTAATCACCATCAGTGTCAAATAAAACAAGAACAAGGTCGTTTACTGTACAATCACATTTTATTCATTACGTTCATTATACATTATAATCTTCTAAAGATAAAATACAAAGTAATTAGTAACTGCTTTTCATTAAATATCAACACTGTCAGAACAAAACCCAGCACCAGCTGCCCTTTACATTGTAGAAAAAATAATGAAGAATAGAAGAATATAAAGGCCAAAATTACTTGGGAAAAAATCTTGTTATTTTAAAGGTTAGTAATGTGTTTTCTTCTTCTCTTGAAAATGTACCAGTTTGAAGATAAGAAGTTTAGTTTTGACAGTGACATTATGTTTCTCAGAGGACACAAGAAAACATAATTAAAACTGTTTTTACATGTAAAATTTTTCCTGTAATAAGAACAGCATACCTTTACTGTAAAGTTAAATTTCCGCAATGATGCATAAACCTACTCACAGTGGGATTATAAATTCTTATTCACATTTATTAAAATATACATTTTGCATCAAAAGAAAAATCATGAATTTTTTTATCTCTTAAAGCCAACTTTCTCTACTCGCCCCAAATAAATAGATATTAAAATATGACAAAATGTAAAAATTTTAATCAACTGACCCCAAAAAGTTGCTGGGCCCCATGTTACTGTGAAGCTTTGCGCAATATCCTTTTAGATGAATGTTCTGTAAAAAACAGTGGGATAAGATGTTGATTGCTGTTTAAATGAGTTCCAAAGTAGAGTTGGTCTTGAACATTTATTATAAAGAGTAAAGACTCTTTAACGCCAAACATTACGGGCAAAAAATTATGATTTTGGTCCTGTTTTCAGTTTGTTTATTTACTTACTTACTTATTTATTGATAAGTTGCATTTATAACATATCTTCAATTATATTTAACTGTAATTAGAATAATATCAGAACTCACAGTACCATGTTTATTTAAGGATGTTTTGTTAATTCATGTCCACTCATGTCTTACAGCATTTTCCAAATGTTTAATTTTAATGAAGGCCTAGCTCCGCCCACACTTGTCACATCCATGTCATGAAAAGCTCTTATTCTGCAGAATCTAAGTAGAATATCCAAATATGTCTACACTTCTGTGCAAAAAGAAGGGCCAAGCCCAAAATGGCAAAACAACAAATCATTGGTCAGTAAATTAGCAACAATTAAACAAACAGACACAGTAAGTTAGTACAGGACAGACGTTCACTTTGGTTTCTTTAAATGTTGAAGTCTTGTCAGTAAACCTGCAGGCAGCCTTTTACAGGAAGACGAGTCTCTATTGTTCCACTCAGCATTGATGGCTTCAAACTGTTGAAAAACATTGCTGAGCTAATTTGTGTTTAATGCGAGACCGAATATTCTCTACAGGGTTTAAATCTGGACACTGACCAGGCCAGAACCACCAGTAAAAACCATTAGGATCTTAAGCTTTGGCCGTTTTTGTATGATTGTCTAAGTTCTTTGTAGTAAAAGCAACATTCAGACAGTGCATGTTTTCTGAGATCACTTGGTAATGCGGTTTTTAGGCCAATTGGTAAAATTGTTGTTCTCAAAATCAGTTTTTCTCTACATTCAGAACCAGTATGTATTCCAGAAGTCTCAGCTTCTGGAATACATACATTCATTACATTTTACAGGGTTGTTCTTAACCCTATTCTGAAAGATATTACAAAACAGTTTCTCAGTTTATTGCTAATACTTGGATATATGGTAGATATTGTACTACAGAATGACCTGAAAATCATTTCACAGTTACAGTTAATAGCGAATTTCTTGATTAAACAACAATATAATGAGATTCCAACTGTAAAGTACTTTCTCTGGAGTGTCTTAACAATTAAATAAACATTTTAATTCTAACATCATCCAAACACCAGAATTTTTAGATTTTGAGAAGTATGCATCTGTATGTATAATTAGTTACACAATATTTCATTTTCATTTTTAAATGTCATTTAATACTTCAACCTAACATTTGTAAAACTAGAGTTTTACTGTAAAAACTGTTGATTTAAAATATTACCTCATTTACCTGCAGTGTCTCACCTTAAAGCACCGACAAAACTGTTTTCGGAGTCCATTTGAATTCATGTAACATTACTTTTGGTGAAAACATAAAGGGTCTCTATCTTTCATGTCTGGACTGATTAGAGCAAAATATTTATTATTTTTCATGTTGTTTATTCTAAAAGTATGAAGATGAAATTCTTTATCTACATTATAAAAAGATGGTGTGAAAATGAAAACAATCAAAAAATGAAAACAACAAAATAAACATTTTAAGACTAACATAATCTAAAAGCTAGATTGTGTGTTATGTAATACTTTTAGTATCAGTGCTTAAAAATGCCAATGATGAACTGGCAAAGGTTCATTGTGATATTTGACAAATTACCTACTTAGCCTGTAGTGTCTCGCCTTAAAGGGCTCAAAGATAACAAACATTACTGACTATGAAAACTTAAAGAGTGTTTATCTTTTATTCCTGGACTGATTAGAGCAAAATATGTATTATTACTCATGTTAGTATGAAGGTGAGATTGTTTATCTACATTATAAAAGGACAGAGTTTTGTGTGTGAAGTCTAAAATCAGACCCAGGGTGGTAACGTGATCTTCAACAGGTATCTGAGTGTGAGGGTCAGTACTGGGGTAAATACCACAGTGTTCTTCATAACAGAGAGCTGTGAGGGTCTCTTTAGTGGGGGGCTTTTGAGTGACCCCCACACACCATGACTTTTTACTCTTTTCTTCTTGATCCACTGTAACTTCCCAGTATTTCAGTCCTGAGGAGAATTCTTCTTTACTCAGAACGTGAGGAAATGTGTGAACAATATCAGATCTGCTCCGTGTTCCCACAGGACACACCAGCTCCATCTTGTGTCACCATCAGAGGTTTTTGACATGTGTCTGGATCTACAGTGAGTTTCTCTGTGAAAGAAAATGACAAATTAATTTGCCTGACCAGAACAGTGAAGATGGATGTAAGTGAATAAATGTCAAAGAAGAATGGACTTTTATTTACCTTTATCTTCTCTCAGCTTATTCAACATCCTTAATATTTCTTCAACCTGTAAGATATATTCATTTTAGTACTGTTCTCTTTTAAAACATTGAGATAGAAATGCTGGCAGCTTAAGAATTTTAGAGAAATGATCGTTTAGATAAACCTTCTCTCGTGATGTAATATACAGAAAATGAAAAACATTAAAAACATCTTTCATTTACTCTGATATGTTCAGTAGTATGTGTTCTAAATCATACATCTAGTGCAAATGAAAAACAGTTACCTGTCAGGGGAAGTGTTTCCTCTGTGGTGGATTAATGAGAATCAACAATACGACAAAAATGAAAAGTTAATATTACACATTTACTATTTTAACATGTGGGTCAAATGACTCTTTAAAATGGGACTAAATATTATGTTTCACATTCCACTCTGTGTCACAGTTGTTTAAACCCTGTGTAAAGTTTGTTGATCTCTGTCTCCAATTAAAACACTGTAACAAGCATGAAGGAGCCATATATAATACTGACAGCCAGTGTTTAAATTGGGTACTGCAGTCCAAATTCAAAACATTGGAGAGAATTGTCTGGCCCGCCCCCTCCTCCCCAGACTCGATGCTCACATGGGTTGCTATATTGAGGACACTGAACCTAAACGAGCAAGCCCTAGACAAGCATAAGATTAAACTTTGACAATAGCAAGATGAGTAATACACTGTAAGTTGTTCAGCTAATAGGTTTGCAGTGTTTTTATTGTTTGCAAATTATAAACCAGGTCATGTGGATTTTTCATAACTCTGTCAGTGTTAGATAGATGCATGGCTGCCTGTGTACGGTAGCTAAAGCTAAGCCTGTTATCCCCAAAACAAAAGTCCACTGTTTTAAAAATACTCACTGACTTGAACAAAGCTGAAGTCAGCTCCATATTCACCAGCTTCTTGTTTGAATTTGCCTATTCCATCTTAAATAGTGCATCAGTTACATACTGGCGCCTCAGCCTATTTGCCAGCTTTTTGTTTGAATTTTCTCATTCAACCTAAGATGGTGCAGCTGTCACATTCTGGCACCTCACTCCCCCCAGATTTCTCCCCAATTTAGTTGTCTCCAATTCCACCCACTAGTTAGGACTCCCCCAGTCACATGATATCACCAGCGCTAGGAGGGCAAAGGCTAACACAGGCTTCTTCCGAGTCCTGTGAAGACCCACCGCATGTTTTTGAACTGCCGCTCACGCAACGTCATTGGACAGCTGAACACACTTTAGAGGAAAGTGCCAACCGCCTGATCTGTTATGTCAGCTAACAGACACCTGTGCTGACTAGCATCCCGGTGGTTGCTGGGGGGAGAAGGGGGGACCATCCTACCCACCCAGAGAGAGCGAGGCCAATTGTGCTCTCTTGGACTCCCGGCCACAGACGGCTGTAGCCTCACCAGTGATTGAGCTCATGATCTCCTGATGATACCGCCAACGCTTAGACGGTTGCGCCACTTGGGAGCCACTGCTGCTACATTTAATGTGAAAATGAGAAAATTCTAACAAGAAGTCGGCAAATAGGAAGCCAATTTCAGCCTCGTCTGTCTTATTACCCCAGCTGCACACTCTGACACTGAAGTATTAGAAGCACGTTCCAACAGGACGGGGGCCTGTTTTCCACTGTGTTTCACCACCTCTTTTAACAACACTCTGTAAGTGTTTGGGAACTGAGGAGACACTGCTGTAGTTTAGAAAGTGAAATGTTTTCCATTCTTGTTTGATACAGGATTTTAGCTGCTCAACGGTTCAGGGGCTCCTTTGTAGTATTTTTTGTTTTAAAATGCGGCAAATGTTTCCAAAGGGTGACAGGTCTGGACTGCAGACAGGCCAGTTTACCACCTGGACTCTTAATACGGAGCACTGCTGTTGTAATACATGCAGAATGAGGTTTGACATCGTCTTGCTGAAATAATCAAGGCCTTCCCTGAAAAAGACGTTGTCTGGATGGCAGCATTTTGCCAAAACATGTATATATTGTTATATCGTGGTTAAATTTATCTAATTTTGATATGTAAAAGAAACTGCTTTTGTTTTTATCTGCTGCAGAGCTAACAACAACAGATGCAATACATGTCAGCAGCTGCAAATCATAAGACAATTCATTCAAAAACTAAAAAGCAGCCCAGATATGATGTTCAAATATTTGTGCAACACCTCAGAATTATTATACAGTGCCCTCAACAAATATTGGCATCCCTGCTAAACATTAGCAAAACAGGCAGTAAAAGTCATTCTTTGTTAGTATTTTGAATGAAAGATCAAAAAGACAAACACAAATCTAACCTTTATTTGAAGTACAGTGATTAAAAAACTAAATCTTATCAGGAAATAAATATTTTTCTCAAATCTGTGTGCCACAATTGTTGGTGCCCCTTCATTTAATACTTTGTGCAGCTTCCCTTTGCAAAGTTAACAGCTTTAAATCTTCTCTGATAATGCTGAATGAGACTGGAGAACACATGGCAAAGTATCTGAGATTGTTCCTCCACACAGAACCTTTCTAGATATTTCAGATTCAGATCTCCACACTGTAGACTCTCCTCTTCAGCTGATCTCACCAGGTTTTCAATGGGGTTTACGTCAGGGGACTGGGGTGGCCATGGTAAGCCCTAATTCGGTGGTCAGTGAACCATTTTTGCATTGATTTTGAGGTGTGTTTTGGATCATTGTCCTACTGGAAGATCCAAACTATGGTCCAGTTTAAGCTTCCTGGCTGAGGCAGTCAGGTTTTGATTTTATTTCTGCTGGTAGTTGATGGAGTCTGTGATATCATGTATCTGAATAAATTGTCCAGGGCCTTTGGAAGAAAAGCAACCCTACAAAAACACAGACCACCACCATACTTCCCAGATGGGGGATGGGGTACTTTTCTGCATGGCTATCTTTGCATCCACATCAAACTCACCTCTGGCTAAAAAGCTCTATTTTGGTCTCATCTGACCAGAGAACACAGTCCCACTGAAAGTTCCAGTAACGTTTAGCAAACTGTAGTTGCTTGAATTTGTTGGTCCTTGACAGTAAAGTCCTCCATATGGTAGCCCTCTCACACAACCTTTGGTCATATAGGTGGTGTTTGATTGTAGTTTGGGAGATGTTCTGACCCCAAGGCCTGACTAATGTCTGTGATTCCCCACTGTGATCCTTGGAGATTCTTTGTCCACTCAAACCATCCTCCTCACTGTGCACAGCATAGACATACGTCCTCTTGCGAGCAGATTTCTAACATCTCTAACATGTTTTCTTGTAGCCATTTCCTGATTTATGCAGCTCAACAGCCCTTTGTCTTACATCATTGCTGTTTTCTCTCATCTTTCTAATGGTGATTGATCACTGAGGGAATTTAGCTGCTGTTTCATCTCATATATATATTCCCCAGTAAATCAGTAAGTCATGGCTGACCATTCAAGTGTTCCTAATCATTCAGGTGAGCTTTAAAACATAAAATATGAATGGGATACTTATACTATTTATACTTCAGTTAGACTTCACTCTTAAGAACTTCTAGGGGTGCCGATAATTGTGGCATACATAGATTTAAGAAAAACATTTATTTCATGCCAGAGTGTATTTTTTTTTTCCTTTAATCATTATACCTTAAACCTTAAGTAATCAAGAATAGTTTACCGGGGGTGCCAGTATTTGTGAAGAGCACTGTATGTGTCTGTAAAGATTTTTTTTTTTTTCGTTGTTAAGAATTGCCAACAACAATTAAGAACAATTGTGATTCATATTTAAACTGCCCTTCAAAAGTTCGGCATCATGCAGAAGTTAAAATCAGTCAGTACACAGCCTTATAGGTTTTAAAAAGGACAAGCTAAGGAAAAGTGGACACTTATTAATAAGGGGGACCCTGATACAAGCTATATTTGTATGATCAGTAAAACATCTAAAAATTCACTTTACTTATTCTAAATTATTTAAATCTACATTGTAGATGTGTTATTATTGAAAGTAACAAAAATAACAAATAATTATTGTACATGATTCTTTTGAATGATGCACATGCTTTGAGTACCAGGAAGTATAACTTTGGAACTAAGAGGTAGTTGCAGCCTCCTGTGAATTTCAACTCTAAAGCAGCTAATAATAATAATAATAATAATAATAAACTAACAATTTATGGAGATTAACATGAGAAACATTTTACACTGAACTTCGAATGCAAAAAAGCTGTATTTAAAAGTTCACCACCAAAATAGGAGAAGTAAAAGCATTCTTAAAATCTTTTAACATAACATTTAGACCATTTCTGTTGGTCCACTCATCATGAAATATTCACACGGTGTAGCTGACGTTAACAACAATAACACACACACATCTTCTAAGCCGCTTATCCTTCTGGGTCGTGGGGGGAGCTGGAGCCTATCCCAGCAGTCACTGGGTGGAAGGCAGGATACAGGTGACCTGGACAGGTCACAAGTCCATCACAGGGCACAACAAAAACAACAACAACAATAATAATAACTAACTAACTTAGTAATAACTAACTAACAAACTAACTAATAATAATAAGTAACTAACTAAATATTAGTTTTAAGTTTTTCTGTTGACAGTGTTTTTTTTTCTTTTCTTTTTAAATAGTAATAAATTATATCATCATAGATTATATATTGTTTGCAGTATTATGAGCTGCATTTGAGAAGGCTGGATGTATGAATAGGGTTTTCGGCTAAAGCAGTTGTTACTAATTGGCAGGAATATTCCTCATGTACTGATTTTTTTTACTGACATGGCTCTATCACAATACTTAATTTTTCACAGGAAGTATCATAAAAGTATCAAAAAAAAAAAAACAAACACAAAAAAAATATATTTAAATATTATGTTTATTAAGTTTTTCTCAACATAAGAAGCATTTATCACACATGCATAGCAGGAAAAAAGGGGAAGGAGGAAAAAAAACCCAGCTTACATAAACAAATGTTTATGCTGACTAAAGCACAAACTTTTAAAAACAGCACAGTGAATTATACAAACACTCTCATTAGAATACTTGAGCTATCTGACCCGATATTCACCAGAAAAGGTTACCAAATATCATAGAAAATGTTCATTTTAGAACGTAATAGGTGTGTCAAGTAGACTTGTTCAAAAACAGCTCTGTGCCAGCTCGCTATAGAGGTTATTTTATATGTTTTCTATTGCAACAAAATACATTTCTTTGCACAGAATGTTAAAACATTGCTTTTTCTTAAATTTGTCAGCAATATAATTATTTGGCAACCCAAGCAATAAACACACTGGGTGCACACTTACATCAGTTCTGAAAATCTTGTACAGTTCCTGTGAGATCTCCCTCCAAAATTTAGAATTCTGTAACAAATTCACAAGCAATGAATGAAGATACCTATCTCTACTTTACATTTAGGACACATTGGAGTAAAACCCTCCTTAAATTTACAAAATATTTAAAATATTTTGACACAGACACAGTGCACTAGTAGTGCTTCATTTAAACACAGGTTTCTGTAAGTACAAATGATATCTATAATATGACCAGAAAGTAATTCCTGACAATACCAAAATTTATCATGGTATCGACACAATATTATATTGCCCACCTCTGCCATGGACGGTGTTTTTGTTATTTCTTCACTGTACACTGATGCAGTTCATGAATTACTGTTTAGTTCTCAGAGGACAAGATTGCATGTTGCACAGCTGTAAGATTGAGCGTGTTGCATTTTCCTCAATGTGGCCACAGGGTGGCGCCAAAACATCACAAGGGAAAACAAAGTGACTGCAAAGAGTACCAACCTATTTTTGAATTTGTTAAGTATAGTGAGTGTGTGAGTGTGTGTGTGTGTGTGTGAGAGAGAGAGAGAGAGAGATGACACCAAGCCACATTCTGCATGTGTTACAACAGCATGACTGAGTAATCAGAGCATGCAGATGGTAGACTCACCTGCCTCTGGTCCAGACCTGTCTCCCTTTGAAAACGTGCAAAATACAACAATGAAAGACAGATACAGTTGTGCAACTGAACACATGTATAAAGAAAGAATGGCACTTTTCCATAATTCCACTTTCAAAACTGGATCATTTGGTAGCTTCAGTCCCCAAACGATTTTTATTACAGTGGCATGTGAAAGAGATAGAAAAACAATTGAGTACCAACCTTTATCTGTATTTGTCGAGTAGAGTGTGTGTGTATGTGTGTGTGTTTTGTTTTCCAAATCTCTTCTTTATCAAACAATTCAATCTTTCTTTGAGAAACAACACCCTAACCACCCTGATTCTATCTTGTCATGACACATTTTATCATGTTTAAGCTGAAAGCAGGCAAACCAACTAACAAACAGGGTTGGAATAGCTACTAAAAAATTAGTAGTTAGCTACTTTGTAGCTACTTTCCTAAAATTTGTAGCAGCTACAATTTAGCTACTTTTCCAGAAAAAGTAGTGCATTACTTTTTAGCTACTTTCAAAGCGTGATTGTCAGAATGTTTGTGAATTCCCACCTGACACACCAAACAAGCCCAACTGACAGTGTGAACAAGACACTGCATTTAATCTTGTGCCAGAAAGAAACATACAATTGAAAAACTGCAAATATACAAAGATCACCAAAAAGTGAGTTTAAGTGTAACCAACAATCAAACTTACAAAACCGAAGGTGTGATATCCAACAAAAATTTTGACTAATTAAAGGCAAAGTCAATCATTCCACGTTGT